GACCCTAGTGTAGATGCAGCTGGCAAAGCTGTCCTTTTACTGCTATAGCTTGTTTTGTTGAATAAGCATTTTCACTATACCAATACAAAAATACAGACTTGTTGGAGTAGCTGCAGTTACACTAGGATTGCTTTGTTGGTATAGTATAAATGTATTCCTACACCAGTAAAGCACTCCTACAGCAAACATGGCCGATGTCTTCCCACTTCTGTCTCATGTTGCAATCTTTTTTCTTTGGAAGCCCATATTTTACTATTTGGTCTGATTAGGGGGAAAAATAGACAGCAAAAGTTCTGTCAGAATTTGCTATTTATTATAATAAAACCAAAATATACATTTAACAGTTTCAGATACCTTTGGATTACAAGATTGGAATTCCTGTTAAAACAGCAGGATTGCCAAACTCAAAGCTAGTTAGTGACCATGTACAATGCTTTAGTTATGATGTTACATAATTAACTATATTGCTTGTAGTATTGTTGTAGCCGTGTCAGTCCCAGGATATTAAAGAGAGAAGGTGAGTGAGGTAATATCTTTTACTGAACCAGCTTCTGTGGGGGAAAGAGACAAGCTTTCAGGTTTACCCAGAATGAAGAGCTCTGTGTAAGCTCAAAAGCTGGTCTCTTTCACCCGCAGAAGTTGGTCCAATAAAAGATATTGCTTCACCCACTGTGCCTCTTAGACATGGTAATTCATAAATGGGCCCTTTCCACCAAAAGTGTTTTTTTCCCATATTACTCTATAAATAATGATACTATAAATGTGAAATTGACTCCTGCACAGAAAGTCAGTCTAAGAACCACTTAAGCCCTAAAACATGGCTTTAAGTGGTGCATAGTTCTTGTGCTGGATTTCTGAAATAGTGTGAGTTTTGCCTTATGTGAAAATATTAGCCTTACTGACAGAATGTGAGGCATTAACCAAATTCCTTTTGGTCAGTCTGCTTGGCCATGACTTTTCTCTTGAGAGCATTTGGAGAGGTTCTGATCAGTTTCCTTTCTTCCCAGCCAGACTTAGCCTGAGATATTTGAATTTTTCTGTCATTAATTGGGGGGGAAAACATGCAACTTCATACAAGTGATGGAAAAGATTATAGATCAGTCTCTCTTGATTTGTATGTTTCATAGATTTCTGGGCTTCTTATCCAATAGTAATGTAGTCCAGTTTTTACAATGTCAACATGTTGAAAAGCAAAATTAAAATGACTTTTTTACATTTACTTTACATAGAAATCTCTTCAATTTAAGTCATGAAGAAATCATAAGTAACAGAACTTAAGGAATCCTTTAGAGCAGGTTGATTTTTTTTTTAAAGTTGGGTGAGTTTTGGGACATTTGAGAGCAATTTCCATGCTGTCATCATTCATAATATTTTCATTTTTCCTGAATTTTCTTGCATAAAAATAATTCATTTTCAAACTGAAATTTTCAAAAAATGCTTTTTAAAAAATCCCTTGTGACTAAGGGCTTGTCTGCATGGGGAAGTTAGTATGGAGTAATAAGCTAGGGTGTGAATTTAAAATGCACTAGCTACCCGTGTGGATACTGTTACGCTTTAAAGCACACAAAGGCGCTCTTAGTGCTGAGTAAGTATGTCCACACAGAGAGTTAATGTGAAGTAGCTAGTGTGCACTAGCTGCTCCACACCAGCTACTCTGGGCTTTTTTCCTCATGGAAATAAGCCCTAAGATAACCAATCAAAATTGGCCATGCAATCTCCCCTTCTCCCCCCCACCCAACGCAAATATACATTTTGAAAAGCAACAAGCAGGCAAATCTTTTCTTTACAAATTTCTATTGATTTTTTTTTTGAAAAAATGGAAAACTTCAAAAATATGAAAACTTTTCCCCAAAATATTTCATTTTTGGAAAATGGCCACACTTTGATAAAGTATTATTTTCCTCTTAAAAATTGACCATTTCTAGCTGTCAGATTTTTGGAACTTTTGCTAAATTATATAACTTTAGGTGATGCTTTGAAGTATAATAAATGCAAGTTTTGTAAACTGATCCTGGCTTTCAGCCTATAGGCAGATATATGGTACTGTCCTATGAAGTGCTAAGTGCTTTCAAAACTCATAAAAGTTGTGAAGCCCACAAGGCTCTGCCCAGGGCAGCCATCACACACCTTTGCAGACAAGTTATCTGCCTAAGCCTTCTGTTCCAGTCACTGTTACCACATATGTTGAATATTCAGAAAATGGCTGGTCTTGGACATGATTCCATTTAACAGCAGGAGTAGCAAGAACAAAATGATAGAACACAAAAGGCAGCCAAAGGCACTTATATATAATCAGAGTAATGGAGCAGAATATAAAACACCACCAAAATTGAGACATGTCTGGGTCCATTAAAAATATCATGACTGCCTATGAGTGGACAAACGACTGTCTTGGCACGGACTATTTGAAACTATTAACTAGCGGTCCATAGCAGTAATCAAAGCCACCTGGACATGTTTTTTTGGTTCTTACATCACCCAGAAAGTTTTTTGTTTTAAAGCACAACAGACATTGATTTTAAACTGGGGAACATTACACAATAACAATACAATAAAGAAGGAAAAGACCAACTTTAAACAAGAGTTTCAAAATCTCATTATTGAGGGAAATTTCACCTTCCGATCTGTGATTTGTCTTGCCAGATCTGGTTTACATCTGTCAGTCACTGAATTGTTTTGTGTCAAAACATTAGGAAAGTTTGTGGTAGACACTAATCTATACAAACACAAGTGCCTAAGAAAACATTGTCTGAGATGAGCATATATTAAAGGGCCTTCTAGTATGTTTAACTTTATACACTAAGCAATGAGTCAAATCCTGAAATCTTCACTGATTTGCCTAGTCTTTTTTTTTAAGGTCAGCAAGAGTTTGCTTAAGTGATGACTGAGTGAAAACCAAGGAAGGATTTGTCCCAATAGCTTGAGACAACAGACTCAGATGGTAGGATATAAAAACAAACCTGAACAATTAAGAGCCCAATCTTGCTCCATTGAAGTTAGTGGCAAAACTCCCATTAATTTCAATCAGAGCAGGATCAGACCCTTTAGCCAAACATTGGTGATTATCTGTTATCCCAGTATTATAATGTATTTAAATATTCAGCACTGTGAAAATGTGTGCCTGGCTAGGACACTTTTAGGATTATCATCATTAAAATACTAGATGGAAGTAAAAAAAAAGCCTTAAAATTCTCTCACGGGCTGTTCTTTTATCCTTCCTTTTCCTGTCTATAATGAACTTGTTTTATATACCTCAAAAGTTGGATTACAATTACAAAGGATTTCACACATCAGCTAATCACAGAAGCCTAATTCTGAGTAATATTTGTGACACTAAGGTAAAATATAATAAGGGCCCGCTTAAATTTTCATAAATTGTAACAGAATATATTGGAGAGACATGTGGATTTGATTTTCCTGTCACGCAGGTGTAATTCCAGTGCCTTCCATGCAGTTAACTCCTGATTCTTCTCTATATAATGAATCTCTACATAGTTATCTACAATCTAAGCTGCGTCTTGGAATAACTTGCTATAATTACTTTGATTAGATTCAGATTTATATTCCACTGAAGCCAATGGGACTTAGGTCACTGAAATCCATGGGAGCTGACTCTGTAAGTATTTTTAACTCATATTAATCAGTTGCAATAACCTTGTGTTACACATAAAATAAAATGAATCCAATTATTTATGTAGGTCCCTACAAAACAGTCATACACATGACAGCTGTTTAGTAGGAAAATCATGTTCCACTAATCATGTATTAATTTTTGACAAGGGATTTGTAAATTGTAGATGCATATCAAGACTTACATAGATTTGATTAAAATTTCAGAGCGTTTTAGACTATGGGCCCAATTCTGATCTCACATGAATGTAAATCAAGAGTAATTCCATTAAGTTTAATTGCGTACATCCAGGGCCGGCTCTGGCTTTTTTGCCGCCCCAGGCAAAAAAACCTCCGGCCGGAGCCCCGGGGGGAGGGCGGCGAGCCCCGGCGGGGGCTCCGCTCTCCCCCTGGCGGCCAGGGGGAGGGCGCCGGAGGGGAGGGCGGCCGGAGCCCTGGGAGGAGGGCGGCGAGCCCCGGCGGGGGCTCCGCTCTCCCCCCGGCGGCCAGAGCGCTGGGGGCAGGGCGGCGAGCCCCGGCGGTGGCTCGGCTCTCCCCCCCCTGGCGGCCAGAGCGCTGGGGGCAGGGCGGCGAGCCCGACTGTGGCCCCGCTCTCCCCGGCGGCCGGAGCGCCGCGCCGCTCCCCTCCAGGTGCCGCCCCAAGCACCAGCTTGGTTGCCTGGTGCCTGGAGCCGGCCCTGCGTACATCAGTATAATTGAGATAAGAACCAGGGTCCAATGGACTGGCAAAATCAAGGATCTTGGCTCCTCAGTACATGTGTAAATTTAACTGCTTGCTCAGAAAACTGTTTGCTTATGGTATGAATACATATTCACACATGTCCCTAGAATGTTTTCCAGCAAAAGAACAAATTTAACAGAATAAGTGTTAAACGCTTTATTCCTTTGTCTGCTAATACCACTGCCAGTTTTATTTTAACTGACTTCAGGAATACAGTATTTAGAAATCTGTTGGATCTTAGAATTCTAAAAACCGATGCAAGCTTTAACAACTACAATACAAGCTGCACTGGCTGTTCTGACAGCCTGTTTGAAATGGATGGAACTCAGGCAAACACAAGTTAGTTCTGAAGTGAGGGGAGAAGGAGTTTTTTATTTTTTTTTGAGGTAGGGGAAGAGCATTTATTACTGATCGGACCAAGTATTTTTTAAAGTCTGCACTAGGGGATCTGTTTAGAACCTTCAGTTATTAATGTGGAGGTAACTTTTTCCACTCTCGACCCAAACTTTGGGTAGCATTACTTTTATTGAGCCCTTTAAGGAGGCTGGGTTCAGTTCCATTTTAACTACGAGCCTGTTGTGGCTCATCGTACAGCTCAGCCGCACAATGGATTCTCAAGTCCTCATTTTGAAAGTTAAGTAGATTAAATTAAAAATATATAACTGAATATATATAACTGATTTTTTTTACAGGAAGGGAATCCTTTCTTGTCTGGCTCTTGTGGCTAAAATTCCTGGGTTAGCTCGTTCTGTTCTCCTTTGAGCCTGTCTTTGGGATTGTACAATTACAGAAGGATCCACTACTCTTACTCCTGACCTTGGTTTTTGACTGAATAACAAACAACTGTCTAAAGAAATCCCTTCTTACCCTCCCTCAGTGTTCCCTGGACTATCTAGCTAATTTACTGGTCCCCAGTGCCCCTTGGAATCATTACCAGTGTATCATCTACTGCTGTGTATGAGAAGCAGTGTGCTAGTTCAACATACATCGCTTATAAAATGTACTGAACCACAGATTTTTATCTGCACAATATTATTAAATACTCCTCCCTGGGGTGGTATGAATCCAATATGGTATAATGACTTGGAGGATATTGAATTTATTTCCTCAGGATAGAAATGGCCTCATTCCTCGCTTGGGGCTTCACTCTGCTACTCCACACAGCAGAGTTGAGGTCAGTCCTCTGAGAGGAATCCTATTACAAGAACACTTAAAAGAAAATAAAACCCCTTGAATTTAAGAGTAGTAAAGTTTAATTCAATCTTTTAATGCTCACAGTCCCAGTGGTGCAGCCCTTAGGCCCTCAGGACTCCTGTTGAAGTTGACGGGGAGTTTTGTGCGAGGATTGTAGCACTAGGCTCTGCAAAGCTATTTAAACCTAAAGGAAACCAGTTCTGTTCAGCTCTCAAGGAAGATGGAAAAAAGTACTGAACAAACACAAACAGCTTATTTAGAGCCAAATCCTGCTCACCTTATCTCATTGAGTAGGGGCACTGAAGTGAGTCCAATGGTTCTACTTTCATGAAGAAGGTAAGTAGGGTTTGTGCTGTAATCAATAATTACAATACTGAGCCCATTGACTTCAGTGGGAGAAGGAGCAGGCCCCTTGTCAGTACATGTAAGCATGGGCCTAAGATGGTTGATGCTAGCACCTTAGCTTAGTCATGGCATGGCACCACTCATTCCCCGGAGGACCAAGTCTGAGAGATGGTACTCTCTGGACTGATAAAATACAACAAGGAATACATCGGTGGGTTCTGTTTGGTGACTGCAGTCATCCTTAGGCAAAAAAAATTCTAAAGTGATTCAAGATTTTGAGTGTCTCATTTTTTGGGTGTCCAACTTGAGATTTCTTAAAGGGGCCTCATATTTACAGGATAACATCCCTTCTGGAGTCTCAAATTGGGCAACAAACATAAGGGCAGTCAAAATCACTAGTCACTTTTGAAAATCTTGGCCTAAGGTCCTATTGCTGTACAAGCTGATTTCTGAGCATAATGGTTACTACTGTGAAAAGTTCTATAGACATTAATAGGCTACTCAGAGTAGTAAGGACTAACCTTACTAATAAGAGCCTAGGACATCAGTCTCTTTGATTAAAGGTCCTGTACAATGAAACTCCCCTCTCATCTTTCATAATATTTAACACTTGCAGAGCACACTATCAAAGTACTGTACACAAACTACCTAATGCCTTCTAATTAACTAATGTATCTTAATGAAAAAAACAAAGAATCTAAAATCTGTCTTTATACAATACATGCACATTCAGTTTTAATTTTTTTTACAATAAACTTGAGTCAGCTGAGGTTCCTTTCTACAATCTGAAAAACACATCACCATATTTGTATCATTTATCAGAAAGGAAATGTACAATGGCACAGATTGTGTGGACACAATTATTGATCAGGAACTGAATGCACACACATATTGGGTAGCGGATAGGGATAATCTCCAGCATGCAGAGCCAAAGTTCTTGGTTCCTTAATGAATTGCACACCAATTACATGGCGTTCCCACAGACTTTGCTCTCAAGACATGTAGAATGCATGAGAAACAAGTAAAGTCTGTCGATTTAGTATCCATCAAAGCTTTCTTCCATGTGAGGAAGTGGCTAATTTGTCATTTCACACTCAAAGAGGCGTGAAAGGCAGAAAGGGGGAGGTTTGGTAGAGTGGGGGAGAGGGGCTGCGAAGCATGAGAAGAGGCAATAGCCCTGATTTTGATCTTGCTTACACTAGTGTAAATTGGGAGAAAGTCCAATGAAGCCAATGGAGTTACACTGGTGTAAATCAGATCTGAAGGAAGCACAGTGTCTCTTGCTCATACAAGAAGATTTATCTTATTAAAGCGCAGAAAGTAAAACTAGGAACACTTTACAAATGATGTTATTGTAAATCGCAAAGCTGCTCATCTCTAACTTCTACTTCTGTTTATTTACATGTGGGCTTTTTTTGTTTTTATTTAATTATAATAAAAAAGTATTAATTCCAACAACACAATGCCTTGTTTGAAATACACAAGAGCTTTTATAAAACAAATACACAAGTCTGAGGAATGTCTGCTCTCTGCCCATTGTTATACCTGGCGTAAGAGCACTGTCAGTTTCTGTCTGTCACCAAATATGTTTCCCTCATTGTCTTTTGTCATCAAGTTTGGGAGGGTTTTTGTGCGTATGTGTTCTCCGCTCCTCTTTTTTTCCACAACAAACTAACCATACTCCAGAAAATGAAGCCAGTCGGGGGTTAGAGTTGTAGAGGTGAGTGGAGACATTCAGGGTAAAATCTTCAGCAAGACAATAGAGGTGAAGGCAGAAATCCCATTATTTGTTAATAGGGTTTGTGCACGTACCTCCCACGTGCTTCTTACGAAATTTACTCTCCAGTATCTTGCTGGCAGTTTCAATTTGAGTCAACATTACATTTCAGCAGATGGACTGCAAACTAGAGGCTGCTTTTGTCCTAATGAATAAAGCTCTACATTTCCTCCTCTTAAAATGTGATCACATTTTTAAAGGGGAAAACAAGTGTTACTGCTAAGCTTATATTTAATTTGATTTTTTGCTTTGCTTCTCTGTGTTAGCAAATGCCACCCATGTACCTAAATATATGTCCAATGGGTAATTTAGTATAGTTTTGCAGATCTATCACAAAATGGCCTGTATCTATATGGCACCTCCCATCCTTACAAGACCCCAAGCACTTTTACAAATACATCTACATACCCCTGAACTGCAGCCAACTCTCGGGTGGAATGTAGCAGTCAATTAATAATGCACTGTAACACAGACTTTAAATCTCATATAAAAATTATGCCAGGGAAGCCATGGAACACCCACATGACATATGTCATGAATCAGCTTCTCACTAAGTGTTAGCTACAAAATCTGAATTTCTGGGAAAAAACCCAGATTTGGAATTATTGCCTTGAGTGCGGTGCTCAAATAAGGAATTTGTCATTTGCTATAATATTCCAGTATTACAGTGCAGTCCTGTACAGACCCATAATGACGGTGCGTTATCTAATCTCAGTATGAAGCAATATTAATTAATAGGAAGGATGCACAAAACAGAACACAGTATTTTTGCATGTTAAACGTCCTTTCTTTAAATAGACTATAAAACTACGTAGATGTAGGCCTGGCATGTGGGCTGCTGACAGGTTCATGGTGCCTTCGATTTCGCTTTTTCTTCATCTCCTGCATGTGCTTCCATTTTGCCCCACCTTTGTTCCGCTGCCGCCGCTTCTCCCGGTGCCACATCTGTTCACAATACTCATCCAGGCTGAAGCTGGGGCTGCTGACGAGTTGGATGTAATCCTTGTACCTCAGCCGCGACTCAGTAAGCAAATCTCTCCCCCGTCCCTCTTCATCCTCCGTTTTCTGAGTGCTTTCCATGTGCCCGTTCTCTATGACGTTCAAATTTAACTTCACGATGGTGTGAATGAACGTGTGCTCCTGTGCTTTGCAGTAATACGCCCCTGTGTCCTTTCTCTGCAGGCTGCGGATCAGCAGCCCATATTCCGTTTTGATGATCCTCTCGTCAGCCTTCAGCTGTGAGATTGGACAAAGCAGAAAACCATGCATTAAAAGCACAGGAAAAATAAAATCTGAGTATGTGTTAGGTGGGGAGTAGAGGAGACAGAGGGGACGGTTGGCTCAGGGACTGACAATGAGATATGCAGCCTTTTACCTCTAGGTCACTGGCATATAAGTACCTTAGATAGACATATGCATATGGAACCATTTGAATTTCAGAGTTCTACTATTCAGTTGATAATTATAGTCTCATCAGCATGCCTTAGTTAAAGGTACATACAGTCTGAGAAGATAGAGTCACCAAGAAATAATATAATTAAACAGACCAAAACAAGGGTAAGGTAGCCTACTTTCTCGAAGCAAGAGTTGGATAGTTAGCTGGACAAATCCCATTAGATTGCAAGCTGTTTGGGGTAGGGGCTATCATTTTATTTTGTTTGTACAACACATAGCACAATGGGGTCCTGGTCCACGGCTGGGGTGCGTAGCCACTACCACAATATAAATAATAAATCAATAGTAATAACAATTAAGTCAATAAGTCTCATTCTGATCTGACACTGGGTTTACAACAGTGTAAACTCTCTTAACTTCAACGTAGTTACGCTTCATTTACACCATTGTAAGTGAGAGCAGAAAAACGCCAATAAGATTCAGGGAGCTAAAACCCAATGCAATTCTTTTATCATGGAGGGTTCAGGATCTGTGAATGAGAAAACCTAGAAAAAACAGAAATTTAAAGCTAAGGCTGAATTTCTGTGCATTATGTACCCTATTCACTGCAGCATTTGTGGAATTGTACTTGAGATTGTGAAGGCTGTGGAAATACTTGCTATATCTAGCACAATATGACATGTTAGCCACTGGCATGCTGGCTCTATGCACTTGGTGCCTGAGGCAAACATAGCCATCCATGCTGCCAGCTACTTTGCAAATCTGCAAAAAGAACAGGAGTACTTGTGGCTCCTTAGAGACTAACAAATTAATTTGTTAGTCTCTAAGGTGCCACAAGTACTCCTGTTCTTTTTGCGGATACAGACTAACACGGCTGCTACTTTGAAACTTTGCAAATCTGGTAACCTACAAGTGATTTACAACATTAATTAAGCCTCACAGCCCCTCTCTGAGGCACTGATATGTTAGGATCCTTGCAGATGGAGAAACATGGATGCTAAGTGATTGTCCAAGGCCACACAAAGACTCAGTGGCAGCGTTGTGAGTAGAGCTCTGACTCCCAATCCCTTGCTCTAATTCCATACCCCAGGGTACATTCCCTCTGAAGCACTGATGTTCGAAAAGGAAGCTGGCACTTCACAGAGTGTGCAGTAGTGTTCTGCTGCCGCACAGAGGCTGCAGGGGAGAACAACAGCGAAGGGATTGCGGTTCAGCTTGATTAGCCCACAATGCACATTAAGCACATCTTCAGCACCACTGGTGTCATTGTTATAATACACAAGGATCCTGTTTAATTCACTATTGTGCTGAGTGCCTCACTAGGGGGAAAAAAGACAGAAAGAAAGAAAAAAAAATCTGGAAAATGTCCCAGACTATACATCTACCCTCCCAGAATATTTCAGAGGAAGAAGATCAGGGAAGCATAAAGATGAATAAAGTAATGGTATTCACAGTGAGTAGACTACACACTGTTTTTATGTCAAAAACCTGTAAGCAATTCTTCATCCCTAAATAATATATATAAGTCCTGCTTGCCTGGCTTGCTACCATACTAGCTGAAGCACTCTTCAGCCAGATATGTGCAGCTGCCTGTGTGCCATTGATGACCCACTCAGAGAGCACACGTCAGCTACTAGAAAGGCAGGGTGGTCTACTGAATGGAACTCGGCTCAGCTGGGGCTTACTGGTGGGTTCTGTTTGGTTCTGTCACGGACACACAATATGGCCTGAGGCAAGGCAGCTCCGGGCTTCAGTTTCCTCATTCATAAATTGGCGACAATACTACTTACTGCATCACAAGGGGGAAGTCAGGCTTATTTAATAAGTGTCTGGCAAGTGCTTTGTGATCTTTTGTCACCAGGCACTATACAACCCCAAAGTTTGTCTGAGTTAAAAATAGCTTGGTCATGGTCAAAATACAAGTACATTTACAGCAGCTAACAGTCCTGCAATAGCGGGGAGATGGACTAGGTATTCAATAAGTCTTTTTCTTCACTAGATTCTATCACATAGGGCAGTTTTCCCAACCTTTTCAGGTTGGCATCCCCTTATTTGAAGTAAAACTTTTTGCAAATCCCTTGCACTTACTGTAAAGTAACAATAAAAATGTATCAATGATAAAGATAAGCCTATATAATTTATTTGTGTGTGTGTTTCACGCTGCTGAGAGACAATACTTGACCCAGAAGAGTAAGGCTGTGTGGGCAATGGTGGAGAGAGATTTTCTTTAGTTTAGATTATAATAAATTTTGTAGTGCCTCGCAAACCTCCCCCATCTCCCCAGTTGCCTTTCATGATCTTCTCCCCCCCTCCCCCACAAGGGTCATGACCCACTGATTGAGAAACATTGACATGGGAAAGGCCAACTGCTGGATGTCTGAGGAAGACAGAGAAATATAGGGTGGGGTTTTCAAAACTGCTCAGCATTGGCTTTTACTCTGTTGCCATTAGAACCCATATGGATTTCAACAGGAGCAGAGTTAGACCGAGTGAGCTTTCTTGAAAATTTCACCTAGACATGGCATTGTATTGTGTCAAGTGATACCACAACATTTGGTATCCTGCAAAGGTAGAATACAAAGGAGATATTTTAAATTTTTGAAAAGGCCTATTTTAAGGGTAAGGGTTCCCTCACCTTTGCTATTATTATTTCTAAGGCCATCCAAAGATATATTATTAGGTGTCTTCCAAAACAGAAAGAAAACAGAATGCCTTCTCCAAGGTGCTTAGAAGACAAAATTATGCATTTAATCACATGGGCATGGCAGTATGAGGAAAGGTTTTTATAAATTATTCTGGGAAAACATGGCTTAACCTGGTTAATTTTTGTGTAGGCATAATGGCAAAGGTGGATCATAAAGGGGCTTTAATGAGTTGAAGGTGGTGGCTTTTCATAGCAGCTCAAGCAGGTCATGCCAGGAGTAGAGACTAGTGTGCAAGAAAGTGCAAAGAGGGCTGTGGGTAAAGCTGATGAGCAGGGCAAAAAGGCTGGTGTTGCCGGTGGAGCAGAGATGACGCAATAAGAGACAAGAGGCTCGAACCACTGCTGAGCCCGGGTAAGGGAGTTTCAAAGAGGCATCCTGTGGCTCCCTGGCACCATAGTTTAGAGCAGATTGAGGGCTGTTCTACACTATGTCCCAGCTGCAATGTCCTCCAAAGAGCTGTTTGTCAGCTGGGAACCGCCAGAGCACAGCTTGCTCTGGCCACATCTCTGTTTCTGGAGGCACAGGGCCGGCTACATTGGCTTAGGGTAACCAGACATCCCGATATTATCGGGACCATCCTGATATATGGGGCTTTGTCTTATATAGGCAACTATATCTCCCTGCAAAAGTGTGTCTTGATTTTTCACACTTGCTATCTGGTCACCGTACATTGGCTACATGTCAGACCTCCTACAGTAAGGGAATCTGCAGCTGGCTGTTTAAGCTGGCTGTACACTGGTTCAAAGGAATCACAGTAGGGCTCAGCCTGTTGTCAGGTAAAAGAAAGGACAGAGCTATGGAGGCTCTTGAAGAATCTAGAATTAGAAAAGAGCTGTTGGGTCACTTAGTCCATCTCTGTACTAATTATTACCATGCGGTATTTGTAATACAGTAGCCTTCATGTGCAGTTTGACACTAGGATGGAATCAGGCTGTTCTCAGTGGTGGCAGATGACAGAACAAGGAGTAATGGTCTCAAGTTGCAGTGGGGGAGGTCTAGGTTGGATATTAGGAAACATTATTTCACTAGGAGGGTGATGAAGCACTGGAATGAGTTATCTAGGGAGGTGGTGGAATCTCCATCCTTAGAGATTTTTAAGGCCCGGCTTGACAAAGCCCTGGCTGGGATGATTTAGTTGGTGTTGGTCCTGCTTTGAGCAGGGGATTGGACTAGATGACCTCCTGAGGTCTCTTCCAACCCTAATATTCTATGATTTTATTCTATGATACAGTTCTGTTCACAGTATAGTTATAAATGTGCTAAAGGTTGAGGTTCCCATCACTCTCCTTGAGAGCCCACACCACAGGCTAACCGGTGTTAAGGTGGTTGTGTCTCTTAATCCTAATCCATCTCTACTTTTATTTTTAATTAATAAGATTCTTATTCAACGTCCCATTTGCATCTTGGTTATTGATTTATGGAGATTGTCACCTCCTCCTTTTCTATGGCTTCATTGTTAATTCCTTTCTTATTCTCTGACAGGATGAAATTATGGCTCTGATTTCACACATATTGAGCCATATTTCATTATTGTTTTCCCTCCCACTTCTCTTTTTTGGTATCCTGTTTATGTTGTTTTACCCATAGGTTCAGAACTCTTCCTGTCTTTCCTCTCTACTTTTTCCCCCACAGGACTCTGGAGTTTCATAAACACCTGGCATTTCATTACTTGGTAGTAGATCTTTAACCTTTCACTTGAATACTTAATTTGTTCTTTAGTTCCTGACCTGCAGACGTAAAACATGTTTTATTAAATTTTGAGTATAGTGAAAAGCCTGGTTACGTAGGAGATGTCATTTTATTTCTGTCATATGTGGTTTCATTATTTTTCAGCATATCATAACCAATAATTCTGCTGGAGCTATAACGAGTTCTTTAGCAATTCAGAAGGCCAAAGATCCCAATTCAACAATGTGATTAACTTTAAGCAGGTATTTTAAGATGAACATATGATTAAGTGTTTTGTTGAATCAGGGCCAAAATTGTGAGCCACAGAAATTAAGCACTTGATTATCAACATTTGTCCACGTAACTTCTGGTGTCATGTAGTTGCTTTGATTCAGCCTGCAAATAGGTTGCAGTGTGGATGCTATATCTTCTCAATGACAAGGTAGCAGAGTTGGACAGAATTCTGTA